CCCTGTTTAGTTCTAAATCCAAACAAAAGAACCTTTGGAGTCTGGAGTACAGAACCAGAAAAATTAGGAAATTAAGTAAAGGGTTCCTCTCCTCTCTTAACCTCTTCTGTTGCGTCTGTCACAACCTAAGTGGCAGCAGAGACCCTTGGCCCTTCACTTACAGTGGGCAAGGCTGTAATGATGCCCTTAAAAAGTCCCTCAGCATCTTCTGGGGAAATAAATTGGCTCTGAGAGCCATCCCCACTGCTCTCTTTTCCAGCCACCTCCCTTAGGGTCATTTGCATGAAAACAGATTCTTTTGTGCAAAGTTGGCCTGCCTGTTCTCTGTCAACATTTATAGTCCTTCTTGTCTTCATGTTGGGTTGCTAGGCAGATATGACCCTGGCTTGCAAATAAGCTCACTGCATTTACCAGCCTGTGAGAACTTCAACTTGGGGTAAGTAGATTGAAAGGAACCTTGTCTGGAGCTCAGAGAGGAGCAAGCCTGCTTTTAAAGGCTGGGTGTTCAGAGCAGCCGGTTAATGAGAGGAGCATTTGAGGGGGCTACTGCGGAAGGCAGAATTTTGATTTCTCAGAACATCATCTCTTTCCTAAATCTGACTGAGAGCCCGCTGTTGTGCAGGCCTAGTGCTCCATTAGTCTTGCATGGTTGGCCTTTTTCCTCTTAACCAGAGCTAGAAATGTTCTAGGGTACCCTGCTCCAGCTGTAAACTTCTCTGGGGGGATGTTGAAATATCACGTCAGGAAAACTGCCTTCTTCAAGTCAATATGTATCATCCCCCAATCCATCTAGCTAAAAATGAATTTCCAATAAAATTATCTTATGCTTACTAATAATTTGTCGAAATTTATATGTCATTTTATTATAATTTATTACTCTGTAGTAATTATAATAATAGCTGAATCCAAAGGGGATTTTTTTTTTTTTAATGCTTGGAGTAAAGTAAAATATTAAATTTCAATTTATATACAATATCTGTATTTTAGAGAAATAGGATAAGGTAATTAAATACTTTTAAACATAAAAGTACATTGTGTTGAGATAGACTGGAAATATAGTTTTGAAATAAATGAGATAAAATTTCCAAACTAGTGGGAAATGTTCTCATATAATTTCTAAATAAACGATGATGGTTTTCACATTGCTCTGGTATTTATATTCCACTGGATACATTTAAAAGACTGGTTTAATAATTTTATCATAAAAGTAACATTTACGAATACGATCAAAATGATATCTTTTGCAGCTAAGGTTACGATAAAATATCGAAGATCACTTAAAACTGCGTGAGGGTGATACAGACTGAATGTTTGTGTCCCCGTCCCCGTCCCCAAATTCATCGGTTGAAGCCCTGTCCCCTAATGTGATATATTTGGAAATGAGGCCTTTGGGAGGAGTGAGGGTTAGACAATGTCACGAGCGTGGGGCCCTTATGATGAGATTGGTACCTTCATAAGAAGAAGAAGAAAAGAAATCTCTCTCTGAGACCACACACTGAGGAACTGCCTTGTAAGGATACAGCAAATAGGCAGCCCTCCGCAAGCCAGGAAAACTCTCACCAGAACCCGGCCATATTGGCACCCAGATTTCAGACTTCCAGCCTCCAGAAATGTGAGAAAATAAGTCTCCGTTGTTTAGCCATGCAGTCTATGTATTTTGTTATGGCAGCTAAGCTGACTAATGCAGAGGGTGTTTATTGTAACTCTAAACTCTTTTAGAGGATTTGCAAGCAAAAAACTTTGCAGGCCACTGAGTATGGTTCATAGTGATATGAGGACAAGAAAAATATGCTCCCTGCCCTCATGGATAAGTTTTCCCTGGGGAGATAGAACAAACCTGAGTCACCACAGTGGACCCTGCAAGGCCGGGCAGAGGGTATATAATGGAGTGGTATGATGTAAGATGCTATAAACATAAGGTCACGTGAGGAGGGGCTCTGGAACCTGACCTTGAATCTCAGTTTTGTCTTCCCTAGTTGTGTCATCTTGGGCAAATTGGTTAACCTCTCTTAACCTCCGCCTGCTCTTCCATGAAAAGCGGGTAGTAATAATCCCTCCCGTGTAGGGTTGTTGTGAGGGGGCTCAGCGTTGGGCGGCTGGTTAACCGAGATAATGTGTGTAGGAGTTTAGCAGCGTAGCTTCATGGTGAGGCTCTGGAACTCTTGGCTGGGAAGCTGAGGAGGATGGAGATCAGTAAAGCCTGGGACAAGCCGGAAAAGGCCTTGCAGGGACTGGCAAAGGGCAGTGCAGATAAACAGCATGGGAGGAAGGCAGGG